TATTGGCTAGATGCCCTAGGTTGGTAGCAACCACTCAAGAAATTGTGTTGCGTTCATTCACGATACCACCCATTTCCAAACAAAGTTGCACAGCATACATGTATATGAGAAATTAGTGAGATTGATAAACAAGTTTACTAGTGATAGACGACAAGCTAACTACTCCAATTTTGGGCACAAGAGCTAGAAAACGTCCAGCATATACTTATATATGTGTACCGATGCAAGTGTCAATTAAGTGGCACATGTGTAGCTGCACTGTAGAATCTAAAAGTCGTACCAAATAAAAGGTGGACAGAGGATAACAACAACCAACTTAATTACTTAAATTTTCCCACCTCTTGATGCAGCAGCCAAGTAGCACGTATTGATCTCACGTCACAGAAGTAGCTCCGAAATTAGTAATCCATTCATGCCATGGTATTAGTTTCTGGTGATTTATCTGTAGCTGATCTTCATTTGAAGTGGACATAAAAACTCAAGATGCTCATTTGGCAAGTCAAGCACATGAATCAGCCTACATGTACGTAATACATTTAACCTGGTTCTTTCCACTAGCAATGTTAGATTATCAACGGGTTAGGCTAGTCTTCCGCTAGTTGTAAACTAATACCCATTGTGGAAAACATAAAGATAACTATGTTCCTTCAATTAGAAATAGATTAAATTATGTTTATATAGAATGTGTACAACAAAAATGGGAGTTACTCAGTTTTCATTCAAGAGCAAAGTGTGAAGGCGACTTCCCACTCGATGGACACTAGAACCCGATCCAGCACACTTTGTTATCAGGTCCACCTGGTTATCAGTCCAGGTGAACCTTGCACCAACTCACGCGATCTCTCTAATGGTGCCAGTCTGGAACAGTGGTGGAGGCCATGAACAATGTCCCGTGCTTTGCATACAATTCGACCCAGTGTATGTATACCTCTTCCGGCAGCATCAGGTTGCATCTTCTGACACTGTGTCTCCACACAATCAAAGGGTAAACTGCAAGTAGATGCAAAAAATCCTGAAACAACACCAGCCCTTACAAGTGAAATTCAATGTATAATTGAAGGATTGAGAAGAGAAAACATGTTGTAAGGATAATGGGATTAACAGTAGCACTTAGTGGCAAGAAAGAAGAGAGAAACATAACATGGCGAAATGAAATTGACTGGAGCGCTGTGTTCAGGACATCGCTAGCTTCAACAGGTCAACATAGCATACAAACCTAGAGTGCTTCCTGATTCAATAGGTTCTTCTGAAAAGAATTTGACTGGATTGCTGCGTAATGTATTGTAAGGAAGAGTGAGTTAACCATACGGATGGAAATATTCACTTGCAACATGATGCCGGCTAACGAACTGAGTGTGCGTGAGAGGTGACCCGGTGGCGAATGGGTGTGCTGGGCGAGTGGCAACCTAGCAACTTTGGAGCGCATGCCGGAGTGCGAGGAGTAGCCCAGTGGGGCTGGACATGCCGGGATAGGAGGTGCGCACCGGAGTAATCAGCCATAGTGAGCTGGCAATCCATGACATCACCCGGGGGAGATGAATCAACTCCACCGATCGAAACAGAATTTGGTTATTTGCCACAGGGGCAGTTTGGTCATTTCACCAACCTATAATTGTGGTGAAACAAAAAAGAAGGAATAAAAGAGGAGCCAGTGGCATGCTAATTAAGCCAAGTTGACGCCTTGACTATCCCAGGATCGCAGCAACCAATGATTTCACGAAGCTACCCATTCCCAAACAAAGTTGCATAGCACTATAAATGTATATGAGGTAATGGCGAGATTGCAACGCAGATAACTCCCCCAGCGGTAGAGGGCAAGCTAGCTACTCCAATTTAGGGCACAAGTGTAACCGCACTTGAGAATCTAAAAAACGTATCAAATAGTAGATGGATAGAGGACAACAACAACAACAACCAACTTCAATTTTGTAGATAGAAGCTACCCTCGCCCGAAGGGTTTTCAGGTAGCTACAGTGTCGGGCCAGCCCAATGCGAGATAACTGTACAACGGGTTTTTAGTATGGTTTTTTTGTGTGCGTTTCCTGTGTGGGTTTCTGTCAATTTTTTTCTAAAAGTTGTGTTCTTTTTTTTCCTTTTCCTTTTCCTTTTCTTTTTTTCTTTGGTTTTCTTTATTTCATTCTTGGGTTTCAGCGGGTTTCTTCATTTTTCTCTTATTTTATACCATGTTTAACAGTTATGAATCAGTTTCTTTTGTTTTTCTGTGATTTCATTTTTGTTTATTATTTTTATTTTTCTCTTTACCTTTTTTAAATATTTTTCTTTTTTTCAACACACCTTTTTTCAGTGCAGATGTGTATTTTTAGTGTACGCATGGAACATTTTTTTATGCACATTGAACGTTTTCCATATACGTCAGTAACATTTTTTTATAGATGTTTTAAATTTTAAAATACAAGATTAACGTTTTTTTAATTACATGTTTTGGTGTATATTTTTTCTAATACATATAAAACATTTTTATATGTATTAACATTTCGGATACATGGGTAACATTTTTCCCAATACATGCTTTCAACATTATTTTGAGCATGTTAACATTTTTCTGTTAAATGTTTGTAAAAACATATGTGGACATTTTTTACATTTAAAAAAGTAATGTTAAACATTTTTTAATGTTTTAGTTCATTATTTGGGAACGTGTGTACGTTTTTTGAAATGTGACATACATTTTTTTGAATGATATGAAACATTAGTTTTAAATATCTCTAAAAATTAGTTAAATTTAATAAACACTTTTAAAAATGTCATATACATTTTTTGTAACGAGTGAACACTTTTCAAATATTACCAACATTTTCTTTTTATGCTATCAACATTTTTTAAAATTTACGCTAACAAATTTTCTATATTGTATTAACATTTTTTGAATTCTTGATTTTGTATATTTCTTAATAAATATAATTTTTGAATGTATGGTATTGCTTTCGAAAATATGAGCAAAAGTAAATAAAATCGAATGAATAAACAAATAAAACTGAAGTAACCTGCAGTAGGATACTTGGGCCGGGCGAACCAGACGCTCGCTGTAGGCGAGGGGGGTTTCTATCTCGTGTCGGGCGAGGTATAGCCAATGTTTGGACATCTGTACTCTTAAATAGGAGAGCTCCTCTTCGGCGCCCTCAGCGCCGCTTAGGCCACCTGGCGCCCGAAGGCAAGCGGTAATGGGCCGGCCCAGCATAGCTCGCTAAAATAAATCGGACAAAAAGGAACAATATTCTGCTAGTAGTGGGATTCAAACTAGGATGCGAACGCTGCAGCAGTAGACGCAACAACCACCGCACCTGACTGTCTTTGACGATATCAATGCGAAAACACACACTACGAGACCCGTGGTTCAGTCCCAGTATAATTTATTTGAAAAAAATTGAAATATGAAAAAGAATTCACGAATTTGAAAAAACTCAATTTTAAAAATAAGTTCATCACTTTTGAAAAAAGTTCATAAAAGTTCACAAATTTGCAAAGAGTTCACCGAATTTTTTAAAAAGTTCATCAATTTCGATCAAAAAGTTCATAGATTTAAAATATTTCATCAATTTTGATAAGAAAAGTTCACAAATTTGAAAAGAGTCCACGGAATTTTGAAAAAAATTCATGGGTTTGAAAAAAGTTCAGCAAATTTCGATAAAAAAGTTCACTTCTTTGAAAAGGTTCACGGACTTTCAAAAAAAGTTCACAAATTTGAAAAGAGTTCACGGAATTTTTAAAAAAGTTCATGGGTTTGAAAAAAGTTCAGCAAATTTCGATTAAAAAGTTCACTTCTTTGAAAAAGGTTCACGGATAAAAGTTCACAAATTCGAAAACTTCATTTAATTTTGAGGAAAAAGTTCAAGAATTGGGAAAATGTTCACTTGAGTTTTTGTTAAATCATGCATTTAAGAAAAAGAAAGGAACAAGAAAAGGAAAAAGGGGAAAGAAAAAGAAAGGAAAATGCAATAAAAGAATGAAAAGGATCTTGCAAATTAAAGCAACGTACTTGCGTAGTGGGCTACCGCAGCTTAGGTAGTTGGAGGGATGTTGATAGTTCGCGAGTTCGAATTTCCGCGGCGCAGGTTTTTGCAGTTTGAAACAGAAAAAATAGGTATAAATGGGCCGGCCCATCGGACAGGGAGGGTATGCGGCCGTTTGCCAAAACGCCTGGAACGGGCGCTTAAGGCGCCGAATAGGGTTCGGCCTTAAATAGGGCACTCCATCAGTGTAGAAATGTTGGGTCAACAGCCCATAAGATAATTAAGACTGGACCTATTACTAATACGGCCTCATTTGCGTGGAGATGCCTCTTCTCTCTTAAAAGGGAACAAAACAAGTGTGAATCTTTTCCCTCAAAAAAAGGTGTGATTAGTTTGCTCCAACAAGTGTTTTTTCTTCTTATCTGAACTTTTCATATCTGCACTCCTTGTATCCAGATGGATAATGCATCATCATGGAAAGCTGCTTTTTTTTCCTTATCCTGATACGTATTAAGTGTGTGCCTACGTGGATGTGTGTCATCCAGTATACACTACTTTGGCGAAGCAAAATCTCATCATCACACAAGTGCAAAACTATCCAAATGTATTTGTTATGCAGCAACTAAAGTGATGTTTCCAGTTAGCGGTGCAGTAAACAAACAAGCATAAAAGCGAGCACTAGACAGAAGTTGGTACAAATATGTTTGAGAAGTTTGTAAGTTACGTGAAAAAGAAACACTTAACCAACGTGTACGAAAACCTTTCTAGAAATAATGATGTAGATGATCGTTAAAGTCAACACAGAAAGGATTTTCTATGTTTGCGTGCAGTCATATATAACTTTAACTCATGAGAGTTGGTTAGAGCCACTCAACTTTCCAATTGTCGAAATTATCATATGTTCTACATATTTATCTTAACAAATCTTGTCTCTACATAAGTTCTAGGTAGATTTTGTTTGGCTATAAAAGCCACACACATCTCCCAACGCTAACATCAAGAAAACTTCTCTCTCCTCTTCAAACAGCTATGGCAGCCACTGGTTTCGCTTCGCTCTCTTTTTACTTTTGCATTTTGCTCTTGTGCCATAGCTCCATGGCACAACTGTTTGGCATGAGCTTTAACCCATGGCAAAGCTCTCGCCAAGGGGGTTTCAGAGAGTGTACATTCAATAGGCTTCAAGCATCTACACCACTTCGTCAAGTGAGGTCACAAGCAGGCCTGACTGAGTATTTTGATGAGGAAAATGAGCAATTTCATTGTGCTGGTGTATTTGTCATCCGCCGTGTAATCGAACCTCGTGGTTATTTGTTACCAAGATACCACAACACTCACGGATTAGTCTACATCATCCAAGGTTTGTGTAGTAATTTAATTAATATAGTTACATTTCATCGAAAATGCCTTTTGGAGCTCGGCCTCCATGGAGGCCGGTTTTTGAAAAACACAAAAATCATGAAAATTCATATTTTTACAATTCAAAAAAATCTGAAAAAAAATACAGATATACATGGAGGCATAACACACATGTGTGTAAATTTTTAGGACGAAATACGTTGAAATGAAGGCTGTGCAAAAAAGACAAATCTGAGGCCTTCTAACACATGTTACTATTCATCCTCAAAGTCCAGAAATTTGTCTTTTTTCTATAGGTCACATTTCGAAGTATTTCATCTTGAATTTTTACACACACATGCATTTCATCCGTGTATAGTTACATGTTTATTTTCAGAATTTTTTGAAGTCAAAAAGTTTGAATTTTGAATTTTTCAAAAATAAAGGGCTCCATGGAGCTCGGTCACCAAAACGCCCTACTCCCATTTCATATTACTAATAGTTTCTTGAGATAAAGGTTACTATTTTTAGTATTTTATTTGTCAATAAGTTTCTAATACTAACATGCAGATATGTTGTCACCCAGGAAGTGGTTTCGCCGGATTGTCTTTTCCTGGATGCCCAGAGACATTCCAAAAGCAGTTTCAAAAATATGGGCAAGCACAATCCGTACAGGGTCAAAGCCAAAGCCAAAAGTTCAAAGATGAGCACCAAAAAGTTCACCGTTTCAGACAAGGAGATGTCATTGCACTACCGGCAGGCATTGTACATTGGTTCTACAATGACGGTGATGCGCCAATTGTGGCTATCTATGTTTTCGACGTAAACAACTATGCTAATCAACTTGAGCCTAGGCATAAGGTAACAAATGATCTTTGAGACAAATCTATGTGGGGTCAATAAGTCTATTCAACTAACCTGTTGTATTTAATGTAGTTTACAAAGTGACATGTTGTTTAATTTCTCTTCTTGATCAATCTTGTAGGAATTTTTGTTCGCTGGCAACTATAGGAGTTCGCAACTTCACTCTAGTCAAAACATATTCAGTGGTTTCGATGTTCGATTGCTTGCTGAGGCCTTGGGTACAAGTGGAAAAATAGCGCAAAGGCTTCAAAGTCAAAATGATGACATAATTCATGTGAATCATACCCTTAAATTTCTGAAGCCTGTTTTTACACAACAACGAGAGCCAGAATCCTACCCACACACTCAATATGAGGAAGGGCAATCTCAGGCAAAACACTCTCAGGAAGAGCAACCTCAAATGGGGCAGTCTCAGGGAGAGCAACCTCAAACGGGGCAGTCTCAGGGAAAGCACATTCAGGGAGAGCAACCTCAAATGGGGCAGTCTCAGGCAAAACACTATCAAGGAGACCAACCTGAAGAAGGGCAGGAAGGGCAATCTCAAGAAGAACAATCTCAGGCAGGGCCATATCCGGGATGTCAACCTCGTGCAGGGCAATCTCATGCATCACAATCAACTTATGGTGGTTGGAATGGTTTGGAGGAGAACTTTTGTGATCATAAGCTAAGTGTGAACATCGACGATCCCAGTCGTGCTGACATATACAACCCGCGTGCCGGTACAATAACCCGTCTCAACACCCAAACGTTCCCCATCCTTAACATCGTGCAAATGAGTGCTACAAGAGTACATCTCTATCAGGTAATTATGATATTGTATTTTTTCATACTCTTTTATATTCAAAGCTTCACAATGAAATTCTAACGTTATACCTTACATAATTTACGATCGCAGAATGCCATTATTTCACCATTATGGAACATTAATGCTCATAGTGTGATGTACATGATCCAAGGACATATCTGGGTTCAGGTTGTCAATGACCATGGTCGAAATGTGTACAATGGCCTTCTTAGCCCGGGGCAACTATTAATCATACCACAGAACTATGTTGTTATGAAGAAGGCACAACGTGATGGAAGCAAGTACATTGAATTCAAGACTAATGCAAACTCCATGGTTAGTCACATCGCGGGAAAGAGCTCAATCCTCGGCGCCTTGCCCGTTGATGTCATCGCCAATGCATACGGCATCTCTAGGACAGAAGCTCGAAGCCTCAAATTTAGCAGGGAAGAGGAGCTGGGAGTATTCGCTCCTAAATTCAGTCAAAGTATCTTCCATAGTTCTCCTACCAGCGAAGAAGAGTCATCTTAAGAGCGCATGAGCTAATGTCAAAACTAGCTCATGGACTAAAATAAACACATCATTGAGTGTGTAGCACTTTGATGTTTCCATATATGGTCATCTCAATAAGATATCAACAAAGGTCCATTGTGTTTCATATGTTTACCTTTCTGGAAATTTCATGAACTTTGTTTTGCGAGTTGCATTCGCGAATTCTTCATCTAGATAGTGTGCATACGTTATCGTATTTGTACTACTATTCTATGTGGTAGTGGTTCTCGTTTCTCATTGTAGCGATACAAATTCTCACCATAGCAATAAACACCAATGTGTTTTTCATTTGTGTTTGCACTGACATAAACATCACTCACTTGCTAACTAAGCCTAGTAAACACCAGTGTGTGGTGGCTACGGTCAGCTCAATACATTCTTCTATGTGCCATTGGCCCCATTTCACTTGTGTTGTCTTCTGCAAAAATCATATCATTGATGAATTAGAAGCTTTAGCAGAGGTTAGACCTCTATCTGAGCATGAAATCAAGATCAAGAATCAGTCGAATGCACAGATAGCTAACATGCTGCGTGAAGAGGAACTCAAATGGTACCAACATTCTAACTCTCAATTTATCCTGAAAGGTGATTCGAATACTAGATATTTCCATGGAGTCGCCAATGGCAGACACCGGAAGAAAATTATTCATTTCCTACAACAGGATGAGGGAGTGATTGAGGGGCATGAGCAACTTAAATCTTATATCACTAATTATTATAAAAATCTGTTCGGAGCCCCAGAGGAAGGAAACTTCTCGATGGATGAGACCCGAACAGATGACATCCCTCGGGTCTCTGATGAGGAAAACAACCTTCTAACAGCCCCATACTCCGAGGAGGAACTTAGAAAGGCGGTTTTCCTAATGGAGCATAACAAAGCCCCGGGTCCGGATGGTTTTCCCGCTAAGTTCTATCAGAAATTCTGGCAAGTCATCAAACCGGATCTCCTACTTTTGTTTACCGACCTACATGCTGGCCAACTAGAATTGTTTCGCTTAAACTTCGGTGAGATTATTTTATTACCTAAGGTTAATGAGGCAGAAAGGATACAACGATATAGACCTATTTGCCTCCTTAATGTTAGTTTTAAAATATTCGCGAAGGTTGCGACTATTAGGCTGAATTCGGTTGCTGAACATGTGGTTCGGCCTTCACAGACAGCTTTTATGCAAGGCAGACACATCCTAGATGGAGTTGTTATCCTTCATGAAATAGTCCATGAATTACACCGAAAAAAGTTAAATGGGGTGGTACTCAAAATAGACTTTGAAAAGGCTTATGACAAAGTCAAGTGGCCTTTTCTCCAACAGACTCTCAGAATGAAAGGATTTTCTGCAGAGTGGCGCACGATGATCCATAGCTTCGTTTCTGGAGGTAGTGTTGCCATTAAGGTCAATGATGACGTTGGACACTATTTCCAAACAAAGAAGGGATTGCGACAGGGTGACTCGATATCGCCCATGCTATTCAATATAGTGGCGGATATGCTAGCGGTCATGATTGAGCGTGCCAAGGTTGATGGCCAAATTGATGGGGTAGTAAATCATCTAGTTGATGGTGGTCTCTCTATACTTAAATATGCTGATGATATGATTCTCTTCATGGATCATGACCTCGAGAAAGCAAGAAATCTGAAACTGATTTTATCAGCATTCGAGCAACTCTCGGGTCTAAAGATCAATTTTCATAAAAGTGAATTGTTTTGCTTCGGCGAGGCTCAAGACGAGGCCCACCTGTACGCTAAACTGTTCGGATGCGGGTTGGGTCAGTTTCTGATCACATACTTGGGGATACCGATACATTATCGGAGACTCACAAATGCTGAATGGAAACACGTTGAGGAGAGACTGCAAAAAAGACTTAGCAGTTGGAAAGGTAAACTGTTGTCTCTGGGTGGAAGAGTGGTCCTCATAAATTCAGTACTTAGTAATATGGTACTATATATGATTTCCTTCTTCCAGTTACCGAAAGGAGTTTTACATAGATTGGATTACTTCCGATCAAGATTTTTTGGCAAGGAGATAGCGAGAGAAAGAAATATCGACTGGCTAAATGGAGTGTGGTTTGCCGTCCCAAAGACCAAGGCGGATTGGGCATTCATGACCTTGAGGTTAAGAATAGGGCCCTCCTCGGCAAATGGTTGTTTAAATTACTAACGGAAGATGGTGTATGGCAAACCTTCCTAAGGAGGAAATATGTGGGTTCCAAGACGGTATCCCAAGTATATTGGAAGCCTGGGGATTCCCATTTTTGGGCAGGTCTAATGGCTACGAAGAAATATTTCTTCTGCTATGGATCCTTCTCAATTAAGGACGGCTCGAAAATTAGATTCTGGGAGGACAAGTGGCTAGGAAATGCCACACTCCGGGAACAATATCCGGCTCTATACAACATTGTGCGCCACAAAGGTGATACTATCGCCACGGTAATGGAATCATTTCCGCCAAATGTGATGTTCAGAAGAGACTTAATTGGACCCAGACTCCATTCGTGGAATATCCTGCTCCAACGGTTGTCCACGGTGCAATTGTCACATGGGTTTGATGTATTCTGATGGAACCTCCATGGAAATGGACAATTCTCAGTGGATTCTATGTAAGAGCATTAATCCAGTCCGATGTGCCAGTTGTTACAAGAAAATCTGAAAGATGAAGATACCTCTTAAGAATAAAATCTTTGCATGGTATCTTCGTCGCGGAGTCATTCTTTTTAAAGATAACCTTATTAAGAGGAATTGGCGTGAAAGCCCGCAATGTGTATTTTGTCACCATGGGGAGACAATAAAACATTTATTCTTCCAATGCAAATTGGCTCGTTCTATATGGTCAGTCATCCAAATAGCTTCTGGCTTGTATCCTCCCTGTAGTGTTGCTAATGTAGTTGGCAATTGGTTACATGGGATTGATCACAGCTTTAGAACTCTTCTCAGGGTGGGAGCGCTTGCCGTTATTTGGCCGCTTTGGCTATGTAGAAATGATAAGGTTTTTAACGATAAAAGTACTTCTCTGTTGCAGGTTATCTACAGATGTATCAGGACTCTTCGTTTATGGTCCTCTTTACAACGCGTGAAGAATCGAGACTTGTTTACGGAGGTGTGTACACGATTGGAGGCTACGGCGAGGGATACTTTTACCCAACATGGGTGGCAGCATGATCTAAGGATTGACCCCCCCTCCACATTAGGCGTTATTCAGACTCTACATGTTTCGTTGTAATTCGCCTCTTTATTTTTATTTTATGTGAGAGGATCTTATTTGGCTGTGTGCATCTTAATTATGCAGAGGCCGAATGTAATGCTTAAATCCTTTAAGTAATAAAGCGCCCCTTTTCGAAAAATATGGTCGTTGGGTGAGTAATTTCTCATTCGCGCTTAAGACGAATGAACGATGATGTAGATTTGTAGAGTGCCCTTGAGTTCTTCCTTTGCAATTGGGTTCAACTCATTTTTTATGTGGAAATTAGGTCTGGCCACTATCCAACTTGATATTTGATGCCCGCCACTTTTCTTTTGAAATTGTGGCTGTGCACTAACGATTGCAAATAAATTGGGCAGAAGCCCTGTGCGTTTGCCACCAAGTTTTCACCTCATTTGACCCATCTTTTCTTTTGTGAGTCTCAATGCTGGCAATAACGGAGGGGAGACTCATATGAAACATCCATTCGATGTGTTGGCCGTCATTTGGCCATGTTGTCAACTATGAATATGAGAGCCAACATCAGCGCTCGAGCTCCTTCTCTTCCAGCTACCGCCGCGCACCTAGTTAGGCCATTCTAGACCCTACACGTGCATTTCCCACCTGAAACTGCCACGCCACCACCGGCGAGCCCGTTTGCCATCTCCGCGTGTCCTTTCACGTGCCTTATTTTCCGCCAGAGGCCGCCGCCGAGTCCAAAATGGAAGCATATGAATGCAATTCATGGTATATCAAATGAAAGAAAAAACTATCAGACTTCCTCTTCATATCAGTTCATCGCAAGATGCAAAATAAAAAATGGTATCCTTGCTATTTAATTGCGCGCTAAAGGTTCACTCACCGTGGCTGTCGATCTTTGTCTTGTATAATTAACAATGATTAAGATGACAATCTAAGCGTGCCCCATGAATCAAGTGAGTGCCACGTGCCGTGTGCAGGGCCAATAAGCCATACAAATTGATATATAGTTATATATATATATATATAGATAAAATAGATGGGGCACCTAGGTGCCCAGGCACCTTGATTATTTTGAAAATCGTGGTATATTTAATTTGTTTCCTAACTATTCTTCATGCAAGACTTTCCATGCTTACATTTTGTTTTTGTTTTTTTAAATATTAGAAATGCAAGACTTGCCATATAATAAATTGTATTAATGTTGATTTGTTTTGAACTGTCGCGGGTGTCTAATACGTGTATTTTTGTTTCCTAATACGGGTATCTAATACCTACCAACAAAATTATATATATACGCAGATACCTATATATATTTAATAATTTATTTTTGGACATTTTGTTCGTATGTATGTTTCTAATATATATTCAATATATCATATGACTAATGTATGATACCCACGCTATAATATACCCTACGGCGATAAGAGTGAAACATACCTCCTATTTATTTACCCAATTTATCGTATACCCTAATGTCCAAATTGTACATATATACCTATTAGGTATATATTGGATATACCTATGGTTATACCAAATGGATGTTCGTATGTCTGTTTCTAATGAATTAATTTCCAAGGTATATGGCATTTAAAAAAAATTAAGACCGGGTCATACCCATTGTCTCATATACCTAATATATTGTATTCCTATTGTAAAAAAAAACATTTCCACGGATGAGTACAACGTACCTTTTACTAATATATATATGAAAAATGTCTTCATACGCATTAATTTCTTATTTGTCTCTCTCATATTTCTATTAATAGCTGTCAAATATGGAATGTTGCCATGCGTGGAATTCTCTTTCCTATTTGCTACTACTAC